CAGATGGATTGGTGCTGTGGCTGCAGTGATGTGGATGTAGGGAGAGCTCAGTGGAAGAGCGAAGCTCTTGATTTTACAGGTCAATCTGCGTCTCTAACCTCACCTATGGTCATAGGCTTTAGGTAGTGACCAGAAGAATCATGGACACAAGCAGCAGAAATCAGCTTCCTCCAAAGGGTGGCCTGCCTCTCCCTTAGAGATAGGATGTGGAGTTTCACTAGGGCATTGTTCAGGGCATGTCCCACCGGGAGGAGGCCTTGTGACAGACCAAGGGAGCCCTGGAGAGAGATCTCTCAGCCGGTCTGAGAGATATAATCCTGATTGTTGGATCCACAAAAAATAATTTTTGTTTCTTTATTTTAATTAACAAGAAATACAAAAAATAAATAAATAAATTGACAAAATAAAATAATAGTGTTGGGTCTGCGCTTCAGCAGGCCCGCTAGTTTAGAGACTTATCACGCATGAAGAAAGCAAGACGAATAGCTTAACCGGTTTTTACTTGCTAGCAAGGGGAGCCCGCTCGGTAGCACCTCTGCCCTCGGTGTCAGACCACTCAGAAGAACCAGCACCCCCTGCAGCCTTAAAAGCCAGTCATAAAACTGAGGCACTGAGTGTGTGTGTGTGGATGTGGGTGTTTTTGTGTGAGTTCCTGGGTCATCTCCCCTCACCCTGTATATGGCTCAACCCCTTTTTTAACAGTCTCACCATACACAAGCACAGGCGAGGACATAAAGGACAGGAAGTAAAACATCCTCACTAAATAAGGACAGATAATCTTCACATACTTTTTGTTTTCGAAGGCCTGCCAAATGCTATGCTATCATTTTTCTGTAAAGCAAATTGGGTATACATAAAGTTACCTTACCTTACCTAGGATGTCTGCAGTTAAACACTATTCAATTCAATTCAATTCAATTTTATTTATATAGCACCAAATCACAACATAAGTCGCCTCAAGGCGCTTCATAGATACAGAGAAAAAAAAACCCAACAATCATATGACCCCCTATGATGTTAAGTGCACATGCCCGTGTATTTAACATTCAAGCACACAAAACAAACACGTATATTACTACTGACATGCCTGCACTGCTGAATTGTGCATTGTGTTTATTCTTTCATGGACGATGTCTTATAAATGCAAAATGTTTCTCAGGTCAACAAGAAAACCACAGAAGGTCAAAGTCTGTTAATAATGTGTAAGTATCCTAAACATTACTGCAGAGGAGCCTACTTCTGTTTGCTCTGATCGTTTTCTAAAGTTGATATGTTATATTTTTAAAAATGAAATGAGTGAAATTAAATTTTCTACTTATTTGCGTCAAAGATTAAAATGAACTGCAGATGTGCTGGAAGTAGAATTCATCAACATCCATCATATGAAAGCATAAAACGTGATATGAATATGTGAGAAAATCAAACAGCTGGTTTGTCTGACTGACCTTTATATCAATTTTTTTTCTTCCTGTCGTTTAACAGAGATGCTGAATTGCAAGAACTCAGTGAAGACGGTTCTACTCTAAAAAACCCAAACAGAACCTGACCAACCAACAACTGTTTAGGACTGTTGGGACCACATTAAAGGGAAAAAACAGAAGGATACTATTAATTTAAAAGAGCTAAATGTTAAATGTTGAAAGTAATATTTTTCTTAAATAATGTCCAAATGTTGGAAATGTATTTGAAATACCTCAGTGAAAAGAAATTGAAATAATAGATTAAGAAAACAAGTCAAAATTTAATTTCAGAGAAACATCAAAAATATTTAAAACAACCAATGCAAACACTGATAGCATTTCCTTATAACTGCAGTGTGTAGTGTAAGAGTAACAGTAATATATATGTATATATATATACATATATATATATACAAAAATTGTTTTTAAAATCTTGACTAAATGTATTCATTGCATTTTAACACCAAAGTAACATTCATTAGTACTAGTTTAAAAGAAAAGAAAACTTGAGATAGCATGACTCAAAGACTGACTTTTATTTGATTTTATTCACACAGTCCAGCAGACTGAACAGCTGCTTTACAACATCAGCAGTTCTCTGATACTTTCAGACAGTGATAAAGATTCTGTTTTTAGCTGTAACATCAGCACTCGTAGAAACTGGAGGAACGCAACTTTAAGTGAACAAGGTGAGTCTGGAAACCAACAAATCAAATAGGTGTGTAGAGTGCTGGTTATTTACTTTTCCTTACAATTACTCATTCATCAACACGCAAAAATGTGTCAGTTATTTATAAAATGTTTATCATAAATATACATCCGACAGTTTAAATGAAAAATAATCTTTCAATTTAGGGAATGTTGTCCCTGTTAGAGGCTTCAGAGGAGGAGTCTTTGCAGCTTTTTTGGTCGTGGCAGCAGCTGGTCTGGCACTGTACTGCAAATGGAAAAGAAGTTAAAGTTATGTTCTTCTTTCACTTTTTAATTGTATGTTGCTTGTATTGATATTTTATTCAGATAAACAAGGAAAAATATGGGAAGATCAAAGAGCAATTAAAGCAAAATGGAATTAAGTTTTGTTTATGAAAATGTTTAAACCCAATTAAAAGGATAGTACTTTTGTCAGCCAGTTTTCTATGAGTCTAACTCCTGTCTCAATTTTTTTTTAATGATTCAATTCAGATTATGAACGCATTAAATCCCATGAAATGAAACATAAATTATGTGTATATATGTTTTTTGAGGTTTTTTTTCTTTTCTCTGTTTAACAGAGAGATGGGAATAAATCCTCCAAACAGACGAACTCTAAACACCCACCAGCTTTAGTCAAATGAAGACTTCAAACCGTGGTTATAGCGGGCTTGAATTAATTCATGCAAAAAAGACTAAAATAGAAACAACAACAGCAAAATAGAAAATAAAAGCTGATCTGTTAACAGTATTCATTTGCTAGTCATGTGCAATATTTTTACAGTAATCTATATTTTATGTTCTTTGAGGTATGACACAGAACAGATCACGATTAGATTTTACTGAAATAGAAACATCTTTTTTCATTTTTT